TGTTAAACGAACAACAAAACGAACATTTTATTTATGCCAAAAAATCTTTGCAACTTTAACCGCATCCGGATTTATAAATTCAAAATTTTTTTTTCATCGGCGTCATATTTATTTACGTAAATCGAACATTTAAAAGTTGGATTATTATTCATAATTATGGAAACTTTATTAAATAAAAACTTTTTATTAAAAAAAATTATGGTTAAATGTTATAATTTTTTTTCGGTAATAAAAAACGAGGTTTTTATATTTTTAACCCAATTATTTAATCCGTTTTACCCTTAATCAAAAATTGGGTTAAAAAATACCCGTCCAAAATTATTTTAATAAATTTAATTTTAAACTTTTTTTCCCGTCAATTTACATCCAAATTAAATAAAATAAAAATTCGAAATCATTTTTTACCATTGGGAAATTTTAATATTAACTTGATAAACCATGTATAAAAATGGATAAATCGGTGGATATATAATATTAATATAAATAAATATAAATTAAAAATTTTTTAAAATTTTTTAAATCGATTATGCAAAACCGTCCTTAAAAAACTTTTCAAATTTAATATCAAAAACACCCTATATATGTTTTACTTATTAAAAAAAACAAAAAATGGGAAAATAATAATTAAATAAAAATATAATACAATTCCATTATAAATAATTAATTTACATTCATAATACAAATATTTTAATAAATATAAAATATTTTTTTAATATTTTTAATAAAATTACATATTTTTATACCACAATTTAAAAATTAATATTATAATTTAAAATTTATATATTCATATATTAAATATGAATTAAATGTTTTATAAATTGTTATAAAATTATAATATATTAATGTTTTTTTTTTTTAAATAAAACATCATTATTTTTTAATTTATAATATTATTATATTATAAATTATTTTTATTTTATTTTAATTATAACAATTAATACAATATCATTATTTTAAAATAAAATTATTATATTATTATTTTTATATTATTATATTTTTTAATTAATTACAATTTCATTTTTTAATAACATTTTAATTTAAATAATATAATATTTTTATTTTTATTCAATTAATATTTTTAAATTATTATCATTTTTATTTAATATATAATTTTAATTTTCAAAATTATTATGATATAATTTTAATACCACATATATTTTATATTAATTATAATTATAATTTTTAATATTATTTTTTTTTATAATTATTATTTTATTTTATTAATAATATTATAATAATATTATAATTATAAATTGAAAATGTGATTTTTCATATATTATTATTATAATAAAAAAACATTTTAATATAATAATTTTAAAATGTAAAAATATATTATTAATATTTTAAATTATAAAATTTATTTAAATTTAAAAATATTTTTAAAAAAAAAATGAAATTATAATTAAAAATAAAATTGAACCGAAATCATATTAAATTCAAAATAAAATCGTAATAAATAAAATTTTAATAACGAATTAATGTTTTAAATAAATATTCATATTTATTTTAATAATGAAATTGGGTTTTAATATTAAAATAAATTGGATAATAATATTTAATAAATTATTCATTTAAAAAATAATATTTTTACGGGTTGAAAATAATAACAATTACAATTTTAAAAAAGAAAATTCATTTTAAACAGTAAATATAATAGTGTAAAAATTTTAAACGTTAAAATAATAGTAGCAACCATTTTCAAATACCCCCCCGCGCGCTAAGGTAGGTAGTAAATTGAAACTAAGCTATGACTGCCAATGAGAATACAAGCTCTCTATACTACTATAGTCTTGAGATAACCGATATCTTTGACGCTTCCGATATCACTAATTCGACATGCCATGTATTTTGTGATCGTACAAGGAGATGACAGTGTGTTATGAGTATTATGCAGCATCCGCCAGAATTCTTCTCACGTATCTTGTTGTTTATCCTCTTGTCTTTGTCATATATCAGAAATGAGGCCTTTTCAACTAATTTGGTAGGTATTGATTTTGACCGAGGTAGTGAGAGCCACAATGATGTTTGCAATAGAAGAAAAGGGGGCCAACAACGCCTGAACTGAGCTAGTGGTTGGTAGCGATAGAGTCGACAGGATTCTGAGTGTGTCGGCTATGATAGTTGGTTGTGGAGGTTTGAATAAATTTAAAATCCTGCCGAAAAACAATGGTCGCGCGGCGCTTGAAGGTCATGAGCCACTAATATATGTCTATATTCACTCTCGCCCTGGTGTACAGCTTGTTGTTTACTTGAAAATGAATAATTTGCGCCCTACTTTCCTTTAATGGTCAATAAACTGCGAAATATCACCCCTAGACAGGAACAAATTTCAAGTGGGCAGAAAGGCGAGACGAGCGTTGTATTCAACCGCGTTGAGCTTGTCTTTGACTGATTATTGTTGTCGATAGGTATCTGTCTGAGCCTTGAGCTTGGTAAGGTTTTGATAGGAGTTTTATCGTGCCGGAGGAACCTTGCGAGAGTCTATATAGAGGCATCTAGAACAAATGAGACTTGCAGTGTGTATGGCCACCGGCTCTAATAGTTAGATTTCCTCAAGAAGGACAACAGAGGCGATTTCCATGCTTCAGTCTTCGTCGTGCGTTGACATGAGGTGCCAGGTAGTCTCTAGATATGGCCGCTCGAGCAAATAATCAATAGTGATTGATAACTGATGTTTTTTTATCAACCATAATAGGGCAAAGTAGAGTAGAGTAGAGTAGAATATTATAGTCATTAATGATGAGATGTTGTAGTGATATTGTCATGGTTGAAGAATAGGTATGTGGGTAGAAACCTGATTGTTTTGTTTGTGTCTGTCCCAGGGGCTTGCCAAGGTTAATATATGGTATGGCTACTGCGTTGTACTTTCCAAGGAAATTAAGTTGCTGCTGATTCTGCCTTAGTATGCCGTAAGTACCTAACATAAGGTGCGGATGCCCAAGTACATACCTAGGTAAGGAGGTAGGTATGTACTCCAAGATACGAACCACGGAAAGGGCAGGTTAGAGATCATGACTGCCTCACTTCATTACGGGTAAGAACCATGGCAGTTGGCCGCACTGTGCTGTTTATTATTGCGGGTATATACCGCTTAGACTAACTATCTCTTAAGGAAGTTACTACTTCGTTCTCTTTCTAAGGCAAACCTCACGCTTAGAATATCACTTTACAGCGGAAACTGCTGGATATTAGCATCTAAGATTGCCTGACAATTAAAGGTGACTAGTTGTTGCGATAACTTTCTGCCTTGCAAGAACATTTATCCCTTGAGTCACTCTGCCTAGGTTCTTACCTTTTTTTCTATATAGGTAAACACCTAGGTAAGTACCCTCCAATATTTTTGCATTTCATCTCCATTCATCTACTCTCTCTCTTTCTTTCCTCCTTTCATATATTTCCTCAACTCTTTATTTTATTTTTAAACAGCTAGAGTCGATATTATGCTTATTTTAAAATGCAGTACTTTTATCAGTTTCTTGCATCGCAAATACTCTATACGCCTTTAACAACACGTCAACAAGGGAGCTATCTCAGATTATATCATAAAACACCTCTATTCTGAAACGCGGGCTTGGGATTATTGGTTATCTACAGCCTCGTATGGGCGATTCTTATTCCAATAGACTTCTCATGTCGGCCAAACACGTCCCACAATTTTCAACTACGACGGCACTATCGACCACCTGGGGTCGTCTTCCGTAGTCTCTGGAGAGGACAGCATTAAATAACTATGGCAGAGTACACGTATGCCTTTTTTTTCGCTAATATACCATGTACACGTTCAAGGAATGACTAGCTAACTTTTCCCAGATCTGCTTACTCAGAAACTCAAAGGACCTGGTTAACGGTCAAGTGATATCGCTCACATCTCTATTAACTTAACTATCTTAACGTTGACTTCATGGCGCACAAAATACTGCAATTGCCCAAGAGAAGATCGAATTCTTATTTTGAGTGCGATTCAAAGGCGATAGTTCCTTATAGCCTGGACCAAAACATATCACCAGTAAAACAAATTAAGAAAGCAAAACTCCATATTGCCTTATTACTCTCCATACTGATAACTTCCATGGAGCTCCCCAATCCGTATTGGTGATCACTGGGATCCATATCGGAACTACCTACGGTTCCTGCCGAGATATACTGGCCTGTAAAATTGTGGTTTGGCCTATGACAAGATTCACCACTAGAATCCGCTGTGGTGATTCGATTGGCGGGCTTCAAGGTGACAAGGGACCGGGACCTGTATGTTCGTCAATTAACAAACGACTACGGAAGAGATGCGAGGGTCGCTCTGCCCTCGCCCCGGAAGTTAAAAAGACGACCAATCATCGGTTTAACAGATCTTAAGCGCGAATCATCCATTAATTATCTTTCTCTATTAGATATTTGACGTATCCAAGATAATATACGCTAGCACGTTTGAGAAAGACCATACTGTCCATCATGAACCGCAATCACTGTATTTGGAAAGAGATACGATCCTATGCACTGAATTTTGAGAATCAACTTATTCATACTTAAGGTAGAATAGTACCGTGACTGTCTTATATAGTCATACACATCCAATAAACGTTAATGTTCTTATCATTAGACTCTTTTTTTTTTTTAAAGTACTTAAGCCGTCCTTGTTGGTAGACTAGTAAGAAAAGGGGGAGGATCTAAATGCGCTAGCTTAGTAGTCTTCGCCCTAACCCACCGCCTGGCAATATCTTACCAATGGCTCTTTTGGATATATCGATTATTGTCAGCTCGTTATTCTTAGAATAATTTAAAAGCTTAAAGTAACGAATTGATGATATACCCGGACTTTGGCACTGCATGTAGAGAGAATAGGTATACATAGGTGATATATCGATAGACTATACGAATCGAACCGATCAACTCCTATATGTTCGGAGATAAAAAGAAGAAAGAACCTTAGTATGTATGTAGTAAGCCCTACCGGGGCATAACCCACAACACTAAGTGGGCGTCAGCGTCATAAGCAAAAAAGTAAACGCCTCAGGCGGGGGTCGAACCCGCAACCTTGGGATACCTCTATAAGTTTTCTCCGGAGGACTCCGGTGAATAATATTTTTAAAAGTCCCACGCTCTAGCCAATTGAGCTACCAAGGCGGGTGGTTTGTGAATAAAGAGATTTTCGAATTTTGGAGGTTGAGTAACCGTGGGATTTCATCGCTGCGAAGTCGGATCATATACATTAGTGAAAAGTGAAAATTTGCGAGGAATAATATCGCGCTTATGCCGTTGAGCTGACTACCTACCTACCTCTAGTCTACATGTTTTATAGTAGACCAGCCAGAAAGATGACATGATATAATTATTAAATATGTAGAATAGAGGGATAGAGAATTTAATCTGCGAATATTTCACTACAAGATGTAGAACAATATACTGGCTCCATGTATACATTTAGATATTAACTAGCATAACTACCCTATTTCTCTAACCACCAAACAGCTTTAAACCCGGACATTAATCTGTACCTAGGTAATCTAACTACTTCAAATTACTCCCTGGTAATACCAACCCATCCCAGTCCCGATCCAGCCTAATCTAGCCAATCCAATAACGCACACTCCTTGCACCAATTGACCCGGACCAGTAAGTATCATAACAACCATAACATCTCAGACACCCACCCTAATAGATACGTTCAAAGTCTCTTCGCTCCCCTCTTTGCCATCATATCGTAGCGATCCGGGAACAATATCCCATTCGCTAGCCTTAACAGCTCCGCCTCGGCCTTATCCGCATAGCCACTCTTCTCGTCCCAGGGCAGCAAACCCATGGACCTAAGGCCCTCCTCTCCGCCCGCGTCATTCACATCTTGGACCCCGGGTCGGCCCAAGTATTCGCGCTCGCCGCGACGCCCACCGCTCTCGAAATCAGGTGCCGGGTCGCCGAGGAGAAATGCCTTGCGTTGTCGTGCTAGGTACAGTGCGTTCGTCTGCGTTAGTGGGCATGCAGGGACGTATAGCACGCTGGAGTCTGTTACACCGGCATGGACAGCATCGACTGCGTGAACCGCATCCGGGTGCCAAAGCACGTAGTCGCCGGGCTCGACGTGCGGGATCGGCACCATCGTCTTGTTTAGCCTTAGATGCGGATGTAGAGCATCGCTTAGTTCCTGAATACCGCTGCCTGGTACGGCGCCCTGGATGATGCTATTCTGCGCCACATGCAGGTTCCAGTTATCCTCATGTAAGAAGTTAGGTCCTGACTTGAAGCGTGGGCAGAAGAAAGGACGAAGGAGGAGGTACGCGGTTGTGAGTTGGAGCATGGGGCAGGCGAGTAGTGAGCCACTGCCAGGCGGAATAGAGGACAGCGAAAGCCAGCCTTGAAACATTCGAAACATACTGCAGGCACCAGCACCATTGTAAAGGTCTGAAGTCACTCGTATGCGAGTGTCGCTGTCCCAGGGGTCGTATTCTTCCCATCGCCCTTGGAAGATCTTGGCGTAGGCACCTGCCCGTCCATACCCATCCGACTCCCATCTCTCCACACTCCCATTATCTATATGTGGACGATATGCAAGGGAAGTATCGCCGGGTTTCCGCATTCTAATGCGGTCTGCATAGGCCACGGCGTGATTGCTGCTAACGAGGGCTTCTTCGTTGTTCGAATGCCACACTCTCATGACGAATCTCTGGACCTCAAGCAATCGTGAGTCGGCCCGTGCTCGTACTTGTCCCGGACTCCAGAATAACTCATATAGCTGCGGGTCATGTTGCGGGACGCCTTTGATGGGCGGGTTATGCCGAAGGTACTCCTGCGTTTCTTCTTTCCATGATACGGCAACATTCGAAGGAACGACTCTTCGTACAATAGCAACGCCCCTCTCCTTTAGTGCGTCTCGAAAAATAGCTACTTTAGCTGGATCGTGGATATCCAAGTAGTCAATCGATGGTATTATATCGGACCCGGCGGCCTCGATACGTTCTGCCTCCTTTCTCAACCGACTGAGAAGACGGTAGAATGAATCAGCAACAGCCCTCTCATTGCCAGCAATCAGTTTCCGCTTTATCTTAGCGAATCGTTCGGGAAGTGGAATGGGGTCCGGATCTGGTAGGGATAAGTCGACTGCCATCACTCCCTGCTTCTATTATATAAATGTAGATTTGATTGTCTGAACACGTAGTGGGGTATATATAAGCAATGGATTTTCCCTATAAATTCAACATAGAATTCATTGCTTTCTAGTGAAGAACAAAGTGCAAGCAGAAAGCCGTACGGAAGGGCCATCCTCTTAGTACGTATAAGAAGGACAGCGACGATGCACCCGTGGGGGCGCATAAGCTCCCGTGGGGGGGCCGATTACTAGCCATCTGTAGTCGGAGGACGGAGTAAAAGACAGAGGATTTGCTTGGGCGTCTAGATATGGAGCGGTTATGCTAGGCATTGAGAGGCAAAGACCCACGGGGATGGTCTAGAAGGGATCAAGGCAACGCAATCAGACGTTGTCACGTTGTTCAACGTTAAACTGCATCTGATATCCTGGATGGGTTAATCTTCGGCAACAGACTCCGAAGTAGAGATCTCTTGGCCTGGTACCCAGACCCTGGTACCAATTTACTAGAGCCGATACGGGTCTAGGGCGGCTTGGCTATTGGCCAGCCTAATGCGGCTCCTGAACGACGCTCCCACGGGCCGTTAGACCGATCACACGCTGAGTAGGCTGACTTGTCAACAAGACAGAAAAGCCTCAACCCATCCCGGATATGCTAGCCAGTCTGCCGGGCTCACCGACGTCGTATCGTCTAATATCGCCGAAGTTTACGCGGAAGCTTATGCAACCATGTAGATTATGATGCAGTTCCCGGCGTCCCAGATTACATTGCGTGTGGCGGTTTGGGAATGGCTGAGAATCCTTAAGTGGTCCTATGGAGTACATTAAGGGGACCTAGCCTTCAAGATGCTTTACCTCGTTTTGATCGGCGAACCTCTGTTTGACGATCCGTGGCGTCGTTGGAGATATTACTGATATTACTCTTCCTCTTCGCCGGTTTCTTTGACGAATCCACTTGAGCAGGTTTAACATCTGACGGGGAAGCAGTCTCTGCGTCCCCGGACGTCGCATCTGATGCTCCCTCATTTATCAAAACGTAAGCCACCTTCTCAACATCAACAGCATCGACTCCCAACCGCTTGGCCAGTTCCTGACCTGCAGTACTTAACTCCTGATACTCCTTGACGTTGTACTTGATGGGAGATTTCTGCCCGTTACAACACAGCCAATAGAACGCCTCGTCTGAGAAGAAGATGACGCTGTGGGGGTCATGCACAGAAAGCAAGAGGGATGCCGTGGCGGGACCGATTCCTTTCAGCTTAGTGATTGTGCTTAGTGCTTTAGAGGTGTCTAAACTAGTACGGTATTCGTTTATCGCTTCTCGAATAGTACTCTCGACAAATGCGTCGTCATTTGACGATACGAGTTTCATGAGAGTCGGACGGAACTTCCCATGGCGCCTGAAACTCAGTTAGAGCCAGGACGGCCCGAGAATGGCGTGTGCCGCAAGGCGATATTCTAGCGGATCAGATCAAATTAGACTTACAGTTTCCAGTCAACTAGAGTCTTAACGTCGTTAAGCGTCATTGGTCGTTTCGACTCCTCCAAGCGGTATGTAGTTATGGCATCATGGTATCGGAATCTATCCAGCTCCAACAGAGTCTTTTGGCCAGGCTTGGCTGTATTTTCTGCGATTAGTCCTGCAGGCAGTATGTATGCGACTGTTCCGGACACCTACCCCCTTTTGTCAATGATATTGACTCAATAAAAGACGGGTATCTGCCTAATAGTTTTCTGAACTGCCCAAGCGAGATATTCTTGGGGAGTAGACTGTGATCCAGCATCCTGATTGTTGGATGGTGTCACCATAAAAAAGACAAGTGAGATTGGTGATTGGCGACACAACTATGGACCATGGTTTAGTCATGCAATTAATCAATTAATCTTGACCAGAATTATGAGCAATCATCCACCTTTTATAACAAACCGACTTAATGTGGTGATATATCTTAACTAATAAAAGTGATTATCAGGTACAGGTAGTAAGTAATAGTAGGAGACTAATTGTGCAGTAGTTTCAAAACAGGTGCTCTGTAATTAAAAACCGCCCTAATCAACTTAAAGATGTGTTAGGTAATCCCTCCTGACTTCGCGATAAAAAGCGAAAATGAAAGTGGCCCGTGTGTTTGTCCAAAAACGTTCCAGAAGCAATAATGGCCCCCAAAATAGATTTAGATTTACCTTAGCGCGAGACCCCTGCGCCTCTTTGCATCGGCCTTCAAAAAGCAAAATCTATTTCCTTCCAAAGCCAATCTGACCCCCAATTTTTTTTCTTTCCCATCCTCGCAACACCTAACCGCCATCCCGATCATAATACCACAGTCACCAGTCAAAGAGGGTCTTTTGATTAGTGTCAAGTCTACCTTCCTTTTTTCCTATCAGCACAATGGGTAACGTAAGTACTATTCCGTGTTCTAACGCCTCTCGTTCAGTGAGAGGAGGAACAGCCTAAAACACCGGCCAACTCCGGAAAAATAAAATAAAGGACAACAAAATACTAATTCTCGCAAACTAGGGGGCCAAGGCTGCGCAGAAGCGCGAGCGCAATGCGAAGGACACCAAGGTTGCCAAGTCGCAGCTCAAGTCGGTAAGGCTCTAATCTGACGGTCTTATTTTCTGACGAAGATCATATCCACTGACTTACATGGGATTTTTAGAATATCAAGGCTATGGATATCCAGTGCCAGATCTGCAAGTCGACCTTCCTGAAGACCACCCGCGCGCCTCAGTACGTAGCCCTCTCCGGAAATTAACCTTACAGCGCCCAATTCGTGTTCTCTGGCTAACCACACGCTTGTCATAGGCTCACCGAGCATGCCGTCAACAAGCACAACAAGTCCATGGCTGACTGCTTTCCCGGCCACGAGGCTCCTCCTGCCAAATAAACTAGACGATAGCCCGTTTCTATACGGAACGATCGAATAGATGAAGAATGGACATAGCGATTGGCGCACTTGGTGTTTAGCAGAGGTCTTGATTGGGTGGGTTGCAATGAGGTCACGAAGCAACTTTGATTAATGAGATTGCACTGAGTTAACTGAGATTT